TAAAGTTATGTTATAAATATTCACTGTCTGTCTGTCTATCTATCTATCTATCTATCTATCTGTCTGTCTGTCTATCTATAATGAATGGGTTCAAAACGCTGAGAATACGTGCTTTTATTTTGAAAACCCCCGACAGAAAGCAGCTCTCCACCGTCGCTTTCGTTGAACTCACAGTTTTTGTCGTCTCTCTCTCTCTCTCTCTCCATCCTCCCACAACATAACACTGAATCACAACACAATGGGGCTGTAATGTCAGCGACGGGCGAGCCTGGAGCGTCTTCTCAACAGTACTGACTCTGTGTATGGATTTAATGATGATGAAAAAGAAGAAGTTTAAGTTCAAGGTGGATTTCGAGCTGGACGAGCTCTCCTCGGTGCCCTTTGTCAACGGTGTCCTCTTCTGTAAAGTCAGACTGCTGGACGGCGGCTTCTCAGAGGAGTCTTCTCGGTGAGGACGCTTTGCTCTTGATTCAGTTCGTTAAAACACTAAACTTGGCTTCTTCTTTTTTTACAGCTTATAAGTGGAAACTAACCTTTTAAAAGCTGTGCTCGTCTGCAATACGCTGCCAGCTAACCAGCTAACAGGCGACACGACTAGAAACTAGACCAGTGGTAATGGTGGTTCTTTAAAATGCAGTGTTTCCTTCCAGTCACAGCCATTTGATCCGATTTTCTCATCTACTTGCAGTGTTGTGTATCAGATAGTAGCTAGGAAACTAAAACACAGGCGTGTGTTTGCAGATTACAGACTAAAAAAAGAAGAAATGTGTGCAGAAATCTTCGACATCTGGTTGCATTTCACAGGCTGACTTCCATTTAAATCAGCTATAATGAGACCTGACCATCAGCTGACCTGTCACATTTACAAAAGCTCAATACTGCTGCTGATCAATAACAGTCACTTATGGTTATTGCCCCCCCCCTGTTTGGACATAAAGTTATCATTGACAGTAGGTGGAAGGTGTCTGTTATTGATCAGGAAAAGCAAGGACAGTGCATGTGTTGTAAATCTGTAGTTCAGTCCTTATGCATTAAAGCAATGTGCCAAATAATGTGTAATGTTTCGTTGTTGGAAGTATTTTCCTATGTGAATGAATGGGGGAAGACTGTGTCGCCATGTTTCTCTCCTACTAGGTCAGCTGAAAGTGTCGTTTTGCTGCCTCACGATAAGCGGTGAGATACCCAATAGTTTGCAGTGGGAGAGGCATTTTCCTTTTACCCATCATTCAGTCACCCTAAGGTCCACAGCAGTGTCATGATACTGCTGTTACTGCTGTGGAGCAATTACAATCATCTCCTCTGAAACCTGTCTTTGACTCATAAGTCATCCCAGTTAAAGTGGCTTCTTTCACCTTCGCTGACATTAATCGTTATTATTGAGTGTTTGATTCATCATTTGGGCTATAAAATGTCAGAAAATGGTGGGAAAATTCCCATTATAATAAGATATTTAATGTACTATTACACAAAGGCAAATAAAAGCAAACGAGAAGCTGGAACGAAGTAATATTTGGCTTTTTTCTTTTACTTGAAAACAATTATTTGATTCCCAAAAGAGTTAGCGATGGATTTCCTCTTGATCGACTAACCATCTAATAATTCCAGCTTCGGTCCAAAGACCCAAAGATATTAAACGTATTATTAAATATTCACATCTGGAATGAGAGCCGAAGCTGGAATCCGGTGGCGTTTTACTTTGAAAAATGTATTTTAGGAATGAATCAATAAGTAGATTAATTAATGGTTTCACCTCTGCCTGTAAATGTCCCGTGTAGCTGAGTGGACAAAGTCATCGTGTTCACAGAGTACAGTTCATGTTTACACTGGTGTGGTTGTCAAAGGGAACTACGAGATGGGATAACAAGTAATCAGCCATGACAGGATATCACTCTATACTGAATAATCAGCGCCGCCCTCTGATAATTGTGTTATTGCTGTCAAGTTGAGACAGTCCAAGGCAGACATCCTCTCTGTATCATAGTTTCTACTGGCTTCTAACATTGGACCAGCAGAGAAAAGCATTTGTTTTGGAGTGAGACTGCAGAGATTAGACGGCTTCACCCAGATTATATAACAAGCCCTCTGTTTGCTCCACAGTAAGTAGCTCTTACAAAATGGCTTAATAGAAAGGCCCAGTGTGTTGGACAGGATGCTCCTAAGGTTCACGGCGTTAAGATCATTTTAATAAAGCTACAGTTGTGTCGATTTGTAGCAGCCACAGCAGCTAAAAGAAAGAGAAACTGTTTAATCCCTTAACCCAGACAGTTGAGAGTCTAATTATAACATCCTGTTCTGGCTCTGAAAAGTTTTGAGCGTGAGTGTCATCTGCTCTGCAGCAGTTTAATTTGTTAGACTCCCAAACTTTATTTCCTCTGACGCTCTTTTGAGTCATCCCAACTGTGACTGTAAGGGAAATGAGGATTGTTGTTTTATGAGCCTTTTCTTTCCCGTCGCTGTGGCTTGTCACCAGGACCGCGCTATTGTTTCTGCCCAAAACATTGTTATACAAGTGTACTTTTTTTGTGTGTGGAAGGGAAACCCTGCACCAAATGTATGATATAAAAGAGATCTGTTTATTTAATAGTGTATTTGTGAGATCGTTTCACGCCTGAAGTCTGACCACAGCTGCCTTTTAAAAGGAGAGCAGCTGTAGTTTAACAAGATATCTGAGCCATGTATGAAGATCAGTGAGACGACTTCCGCTTGCTCGCACTCACTCATAGTATTCTGCTTTGCTGAGGAGTGCCGTGAGTTGCAGTACATGCAGTCTAGCAAGAATCCCCAAAGCACACGGTGTCCAGCTGGTTGGGAGTTCCCTCTCCGACTCTGGGAAATGTATCAACCTCAGGATGAAGTCAGCGTTTGTAAAACCGTTGCTCACGCATCCTCTGCTTCTTATTTATATGGAGGGATGCGAGTGCACAACACGGGCCTGTTTGTTCAGTCAGTCTTAACCATTTTAACAAGAATCTGCAATCTGTCATCAACGCTCCTTGCTCCACAACATTTTCTGTCTATAGTCCTCCGTCATTGACAGTTTTTCACTTGTTGCGTCGCCGTAGTTTGTTCTGTATTAGAGAGGAAAACCCGTTAGCTCGGCTTGTATGCAAATCCAGCAAAGTCGATGGAAATGAATGGCATGTGGGCTGACTTAACAGACGGGAGTTGGTTAGGTGAGTGGGAGAGGAGAGGATGCCAGTGAAAGAGAGGCCATCTGGGGTATCGTAATGCTGCCCACGCATACACGCTCGTCTCTCTTTCACTTCATCTCATCCTTTCACGGAGAGAATGGCTACACCTCAGTCTCATTTTGACCTCCAGTTATTGGCCGTGCACGTGTCTTTGTCTATTCCGCTCATGCAAAAAAAAAAAAAAACGAGCTATAGCTACTGCCGTAACCTTTGGATAGAGGAGTCAAGTGAGTGAAAAGGCGAAAACAGGACTTAATTAGCTTGTTTATTAAGTGGCCAGAAAAATCTGAGACTAAGCACTTAAGCTTGTATTGGCAACTGAATCTGTAGCCTTAAGCAGGGAGGATTATTAATCCAATAGTCATTCAACCTAAGTGATTTTTTATTGTTATGTAATATTGATATTAAAATGAATGAAATGAAGTTGTGCTGCCACAGGGATGTTAGCAGGGTTGCAAGTGACAAAACAGTAAATCAGTGGATTTAAATAGATGAAAAACAATCATCTTTGTCAAAAAACATTGTTTTCTTTTAATGCAGTTTGTTTGATTGTGAATAATGCTGCATGAGTGGGTTTGGGTGTTTATTTAAGAATTTATAATACAGTCATTTTACAGTAAAGTATTTCTAATAACCTACCTAACATTCACAACTGTTAAATATGGTACACAACTTCTCCTAAATACAATAAAGTCTATAAATATCATTATATCTGGTACTACCTGATCAAAGAATAAATAAACAAGATTACAAAACCGTGTTTTACTGTAATACACTGTCTCTCCCAGTTATAGTATATGATGCATTATGATTCTGGTACAGAGACAAATCCGGGGTTATAATGTGAGGACATGAACCAGCTTTTCAGTACAGAGACATGTTCAACTGATTGAGCTACGAAGGAGATGAAATCCCAGATCCCACCAGTGTTTGCACCAATCTCTACTCATTCATATCTGAAAGCATTATCGGAAACATTATCGGATTATCTGTCTAACATCCAATTGTAAATAATGTCTTTGAGATCCTAATGTGCAGCCTATGCACAAGAAATGCATTATATCTGACCTTACAGAGTGCTTAAAGATGGTCTAAGTCTTTGTGACTTCCTCTTACAGGGAGCCAGTGCAGGCCAACTGTGTTCGATGGAGGAAACGCTTCTCTTTCCCCTGCAAGATGAGTGCCAATGCAGGCACAGGTGTACTGGACCCTTGTGTGTGTCGTGTGTCTGTCAGAAAGGTACAGTATGTGGCTGCCGAGGCTCCAGATTTCATGCTGCAGATGTAGATATACCTACACAGTGGTGTGAGCCATAATCTGATGTTTTGCATGTGAACATACACGCTTTAAGGTTACGCATCAGGCGAGGGTTTTATGCAAAAATAAAGGCTTTTGTTCATGTCAGTGCAAGACAAACAAGCTGCAATACAGATGAGAGCCTGAGCCTTTGCTAACAGAATTGCTGTATCTGGGTTAAATTCTCATATTGGTTACGTAGACTTTTATATAGCAAATTGAAACTTGAGAGGGAAATGTGAACCGCAGCAGTCAGCAAGCACAGCGTTCTGAAAAAAAACCAGACTCATCACTGTGAAATCTTTTTTGCCACTCATCCTTTTGCTATCCTTTAGCCTTTAACATGAGTATGCTCTGTGCTCTATTTGTTTAATCATGTAGGATAAAGCAGTAATAACGAGCAAATATGTAAGCCTTCCTGGTAAAATGTATGTCTGGTGTGCCCTGCCGTCTTAGTTTTAGGACATCAAGTCCTTCACTGGTTCCTCCCTGTAGCAGTGTTTTGGTATTGAACTGTAACATTGCAATGTATTGCCTCTTGCTATCATTTAGACCACACAATATTCAAACTTGTCTGGTGTTAGAGTGTTACGTTGTTATTCTTTGCTGACGGCAAGTAGACTATTTACAATATTTTATTATTGCAGTTTACCAGACCAGTATTAAATTCATAAGCGGATGTATCTCATTAGCAAAAATAAAGCAAAAACATTTAATTAAACGTTTTTCCCCCATCCAAGTATTTTGGAACTCAAATAAATAAATCTCAAACACACTTGACGGACGGATGGTGATCTTCAATGTAATGTTTTCATAGCTTAATCATGATTAAATAAAGCTTAAAATTAAGATTTGAAACTCTTTTGTGTTACTAATGTTAATTAAATGTCTATGGCTCTCTTTTCCAGGAGCTGAAAGGTGGGAAAGCATATGCAAAGGTAATTCCTCACATACTTACGTTGTCCAACCCCCATCCCCTAATCCAGCCGCCAGGTCACCTAGATTTACTGTAATCAGCCATATTTCTGTAGAAAGCCCATGTGAGCCCATAGCAAACAGATGGCCTTCACTGCCTGCAGGTCGGCTCACTCTTTCAAAGTAATTACTGAATGTATTTACTGAACAAGCTCAAACTCTTCTTGTGAAGGTTCTTGATTAGATAAGAGTATAAGATAAGAATATAGATAAGATTTTCCCCCCATAAATATTAAAATTGCAGAAGAAAAACTGTTTCTTTGATGTGCTCGCTGTCATTTTACATCCAGAGATTGTCTCAGTGCTGACTTGGCAAAACATCGGCCTCCTGGGAGAAAACAAAGTTCACTGAATGTCATTCTTTCCCCTTCAGCTTGGTTTTGCAGATCTGAATTTAGCAGAGTTTGCCGGCTCAGGGAATACAACCCGCAGATGTCTGCTGGAAGGCTACGATACCAAAAATACTCGCCAGGATAACTCCATTCTCAAGGTAACACGAAGCCTCGCTAAAGCAGCCACACCAGTCTGATTTGACTGCTTTAGGAGGTTACCTTAGTGTTATGAATACAAGCTTGGTATTTTTCTCCACTCCGAACTAGACATGGGAAAGGTATGTGCATAAATGTTTTAGGATTGCTTACAACAACTGTGGCTAGGTAGTCCATTGGATTGTAGGCAGAATGACCTAGAGCGGTGTTAACTGTGGAAAATAATTTGCAACCACAGCCGTTATCTGCTTTATTTCATGAAGAACTGTAATAGTCATTATTTGAGACAAAATAATGATCAGTTGGTTGGTCTACAGTTCTCCAGGGACTTTGCATTTTTGTACAACTATGCTTGACCCAAAACACCTTTCCTTTTAAACTATGGAAGCATTGAATGCAAGTCAAACCTGAATCAATTAACAAGTGTCCTTTTTTTTCACAGGTTATCATCAGTACACAGCTCATGTCAGGGGATCCCTGTTTTAAAACGTAAGTTAAAGTAATATTTTTCAACTTTAATGTGTTGCTAAATCTGCTTTGGTCTGCAGTTCATACTGTATTAGGTCAGTCAGGGTCAGTGTCAGCTGACTTGCAGTTCAGTCATTTGAGATTCTTAACCATACGATTTCAATTGGATTAGAAAACTGTTTGATTGAACATGTTTTTTGAACTAAGCCTTTGAATCAAACTATTCTTGTGCTTGTGCTCGACAACAAACATGCCCGGATTTGGACATTAACAATCCCCTTGAGAAACCAAGAGCAACCTACAGACCTGACCACACTGTCATTTAAAAACTTAATCCTCTTTATTCTGTTTGACTTTGTTACATGTCATACCCCTCTCTCTCCCCCCAAATGTCCTGTCTATTTCTACTACCACTGAAAAACAAGGCAACAATACTGAAAAAAACTTCTGTATCAAAATTATGACATCTTACTAGGTGCTGACTACATTTATTTTGGAGCTGTTCCAAGAATCCTGCTGTAGGTGTGTCAGACGTCTGTCAGCACTTTTTTTTGTCGGAAGTTTCATGGGAACCAGACAATACAGAATTATGCAAGCTTTAATAACTGTTAGCTAATCATTTTCACATGTCAGAAGCTCTGATTGATTTAATCCTGTAAGTAACACACTATAAGTGGTTGTACTGGTACTATTAGAAATATACTTTACAGTGAAAGTACGTGTCACATACATTCCAACAGAGAGAGAAATGCTGCTTCACCCGAGGGCAAAATTTGACCTAAAAATTATTCAGTAGCCTGTATGTTTGTCCCAAAAGCTGCTCTCTTCCTTTCAGTATGTATGTAAATACTGAGTATTTACAGTACTGTATATTCACATTTAGCCTTAATGGAATGCTATTCTGAATGCTAATGTTTTACTACCTAACTTTAAGGTCTTTCCTTTCATTAATCGTAATGTTTTGATCCCCTTTCCCCCCATTTCTCCATGCTTTTGTCTTTATTTATTCATTTATTTTCTCAAGAACAAGTTGAATAATAAACACGATTAAATACGAGGAAGGAGAAAAGGTCTTATTGTCTTTTCCCGTCATCAGGCCCCCCTCTACAGCCACAGTGATCGGGATCCAGGGTGATGGAGAGAGTCTGCTGGAGGAGAGGAGGGGAGGGGACTCACAGAAAGGCTGTTCTGGTGAGACCAATCACGCCACATTACACTCCTCTGCTTTGCTTAGTCATCCCATTGGCTTTTCCAAACATTTACAGACACTTGATAGAGCACACTTTAGCCACCCCATTGTGTGCTGAGCCAGTGGGTTTTGAGATTTGTTCCGCTTTTATGTCTCTGTTGTTATATTTATCTAATAGATACTGTAACATCCTTGCTGTTTTCTGATCTGCCCTCTTTGGCTTTGTGAAGCTCCTGCTAATGGGTGTTCGATTTACAATGGAATGATAGGAACACATCTCTAATAACTTTAAGGAAAGCTAAAATATTTCCCTTAACATTGCACATGAGTAGAGTTGCTCAACATCACCTCATTGTTCTCATTATTGTAGGTTTGCTTTCCATTATAAGTGGCTGTGTAGAAAGGCAAATCTAACCAGTGCTGATGAAAACAAAAGGATAGATTTAGAGTAAGTAGCTGAAGCCACACCTAGCCCTTGCTGGCAATACAAACCGACCATTGCCTGCTGCCGTTTTACATTATTTAAAAGTTTAGCAACTTCAGTAGCTTCTACACTAAAGTGCAGACCCCCTTTTTTGTTGGCATACATTATCATTTAGGTACATTTACTGGAAGAGTTGCAGGTGACAGATGCGTACTGCAGGTCACATCTCAAACACATCAAGATAAGCATCAGTTTTACATCGTATTGAAAAGAACTCATGCATCACATGCTCTCATCACAGCGTAGGTAACTAGTTTTAACATATAAGTGTAATTTATCTCCTATCCAGCACTATGAAAATGTTTCTCTTGCAGCTGCCCCGTTCTGCTACATTTCACTCCTGTTTCACCCCCCCCTCTCTCTTGTTCTGTGTGTGTTCATGTGTGAACACATTGCAGTGTTGAATGCTTGTTCCTCCTGGAAGCTTCAGAGTGTAGTGAAGCTCTTTCATGTATAATTCAAACTAGTTCTCTTTTAGATTAGCAACAATCTGCTCAGACCCTGTGGGCTCTCACATGGTTAAAAATAGGACTGTGTGCATGTCTGTCTGGGGGTTGTGTGTTTGCATGTGCACACCTTGTGTATATTCATCAGCTGAATACGATTTTTTCATAAACGTGACCATGTCTTGGCTTTATATGTTTGCAGTGTGCAGGTGTGTTTCGTGTGTGTGAGCAGTATCAGTTCAAGCGGGAGGTTTGGTAGATTATGAGCAATTATGGTTTAAAACAGGATTTTTGACTTATCCCTGGAATATGACATGTTGAAATATTTACATCACCAAAATACTGAGGGGGAAAACAGTTACCGGTTCATTTTTGGCCCACCTCAGCATTAATATTTTTTGAAATTATGTCTATTTTGTGTTACTGAGGCAGAGGCCTTTCCTTCCTTTCCTTCAGACATTTGAACTCTGAGCTGTTTTGCTTTCTGGCAGCTCAGCCTTTTGTCAGTTTGGCCTCTTGACATTAAAATGGTGGCACACGTGTTCATGTTGCTGCACGTGTTTTAAAAAGGCTAAAACTAAAGACACATTGATCCTTCTCAGCTGTCAAAACTGTCCGATAACTTTGCTTTTTTGGGGTTATAATTTTCTGTATTTTGGGGTCAGATATTGTGTATTGCACCTGATTTCCCTTAGACTGCAGAACCACCTGAGCTCTTATGCTGTTATTATAGACAAAATATTGTAATAGCATAGAATAAAGAGTTAACCTGTGATTCCCAGTCATTATTCTAAATGTGTTTATTTTTGCTACTGCTGTTTCCAGATACTTGCCAACACTTGCTCATTAACTCAGGGATGCTGAACTAAAGGATAGCGTGTGGGAGGCAGAAATTCATTTTCTGTTGTTGTTGTAACTGTTGTCTGTTGGCAGAAATATGCTACAAACAACAGCCAGTAACACAGATGTACACAAATATAGATATTTAGTCTACATGTAAAAAGACAGATACAGTCCAGATCCCATTTATATGAACAGGTGCTTTATAGAGTATCTGTCTAATCTGCAAAGAAGAGAACAGTGTATTCACATGTATGATTGACTATTTACAAAAGGGACATGTTGTGCAGAGTGATGACGCATTTTCCAAGTGTTGCTGTTTTAATTTTGATTGAGGTTTGACAGTCGGCCACAAATCTTTCACTTCAGACACGCACTGAATCTCTTTGTTCAGCTATTCCTGCGTTCATTCACAAAAACTATATCACACAAAACTGGGGTGTTGAGCTGAGAATGAGCCATTGTGAGAACACAGCTTGAGCCTCAACAGGTTTCATGCTTATTTGGCACCAGTTTCTCTGACTGTACATGTAGGGTTTTACTTAGATTATGGTAGATTGTTGGAGTATTTCGAGCTTTCAGGCCTTCGTCATACCCCATTTGTCTTTTCTCCTGTTCTTTCTGATCTAGCAGAGAGTCGAGAAGGGAAGTGTCCTGTTGTTTCTGATGAGCTTGGGGGCTGCGGCCACTCCCGAACGTCCAGCTACGCCAGCCAACAGTCCAAACTCTCAGGTAAGGGCATCCCACACTGCATGATGTTAAACTGAGAAAATCCTTTGACTAAGGAGAAGGGAAGTGATTCAATTATTTGCCAGTGACAAACCATCAGAGCAGTTCAAACTTGAGGCTTGAGTTTCCATTGCAGGCAGATCAGATGACTGTAATAAAAGAACAGAGGAAATAGAGAGATGGACTGAGAACAGCTCTAATGGCCCTCTCAACGTGAAAGTGTATTTCCTGCCATTGATACATTTATTTGAACTTCATGTTCATGTGGAAGTTTGCTCTTCCATGGCTGTAGTGAACAGATGCCCTCAGATGTGTTTGCTTGAAAAGGCTTCCTGCAGATATGAAGAGCACGTGAGTGTGTGGGCGTCACTGCGATTCTACCGAACCGCTAAATCTTTTAACACACTGCAAGTTGCAAAATCTGCTCGACAGCACAGCAAAATGGGTTTTGCTGAGAGAAAAAAAATGATTTATTTAGTTTATTAACATTAACATTCATTGATTTATGAATTAAACTTTAATTTTGATGTTAGGTGGTAAATCTGTATCTTCTTCTACAGTTGTCTTCCATTAGTAAAGCCATTATTGGACTGCATATGTGCATATATCAAACTGATCCTCTGTCATTAATGTTTAAATGCAAATTAGACCACTGGTGCTATTACTACATTAATGTGTAATATGATGATTGTATCTCAGTAGCAGATGGTTGAAATTTCTTGATGGCTGCAATACACCTTTGCAAGATTTCTCAGGCCACACAGTTACTTAACATTACTGACAAATCAGTTGCATTAACCTTGTGAAATTATAAAATGGTGAATGGCAGCATTTATATAGTACTTTTATCCAAAGCACTAAGCCATGCATAGTGCTGGCCTGAACATCAGGAGCAATGGGGTTCATTGTCTTGTCCAAAGGATCTTCAACACGTGGACAGGATCCTGAGCCACAGCCCCCACAAGAGTGGCTGGTCAAAGATCAGTTTTTACTGACTTTTAGAGAGGAAACATGATTTAATCTGAAAATGTCAACCCAAAGGTTACAACATTTGAAATGGCGAAGTAACCCAATAAAATCACATTATGAAACTACTGTCCATCTCTCTCAGGTTACAGCACAGGTCACTCCCGCTCCTCCAGCATGTCAGAGTTCAGCCACCGGAGAAACCATTCAGTGGGCAGCGCCTCAACGGGCATCGGCAGCATCCCAGAGCCCAGTGAGGACCGGGACAGAGAGTCCAGACCCTGTCCTGCTCTACCGGAACACCCCGCCCCCACTGCCACCACTAGCAACCCAGCGGGTACACCAGTACGGAACGCCTCATCCTGTGAACGACTCAACAGGTGAATCTCAATTTATTTGGCAAGTAGGGAGCGCAATGAAATGTCATTTATGAAAAGTACATACAGATGTGATCAATGTCTTATTTAATGAAGAGAAAGCAGTGAGTTAAACGTGGTAGCCTCTTTTTATTGTAGGTAATGACTACATAATAGAGTAGCAGTAAGTCATTTTAGAGAAGTTAACAAACTTGAGTCATAATCACACCTGAGACCTGTGTCGCACTTGAGGAAGCAGCTGTCATGCAGAAAGAGGCTGTGAGGCAATGCAGCGGAAGAGTATCTGTGGTTTCATTATGTGGTGTCAATAGAGGCTCGTGGTATTTTTAAAAAATATTAGTCATTGTGTCGGGGGGTCTAAAAATTGTCCAGCTATGAATCAAGCTTCTCAAACTAAAGACGGGGGATGGTTTTACGTTTTTAATTATGCCTGAAGGTGCACTTTATATTTTATCATGTAGTTCTCACGTCATTATTACCTCAGACACTGCAGCTTCTTTAATTTTATCAAGATATTAATGTTCAGGTTTTTTCCAAGGAGAACTACAACATTTTGAGACATTACCTTTTTTGTTTTCTTGCAGAGAGTTAGATGAGAAAACCGATACCACTCTTGTATCTGTATACGTAAATATGAAACTACCTATAGCAACATGAGTGGTTGCCTGGTAACCTCACAAAAACAATAAGACTCCAGGAAGTAACTGCACCAGCAAGGAAATAGTCTGGTGCATATCCCCCCCAATAAAACCACAATGTTTCACACTTTGGTTCTCGTTTGGATGAAACAAATGAGATACGCGTTCATTAGTGCGCTGGTGTGCGAATTACGTTACTTCCAGACTAGGACAGGCTAGGTTCTCGTCTAACTTAAGCTAACCAGCTGCAGGCTGTAACTTCATATTTGCCTACAGACCTGAAACAGGAAATGAGCTTCTTAACCAACTCCGGCAAGAATAAGTGTTGCTTTAATCATCCTGGGTTGTGTCAGAAGACTGCTCAAATAATGTAAATTATGATAGGTGTAATTGCCAAGCTGACCGTAGTTTCTAATGTTAGTGGCAAAATAAGTGTGATTTAAAAAAAAAAAAAAACAACAAGCTTTTCAGTAAGCAGTATGGAGACTCTGGTAAAAAAATAAAAGTACTACTGTATTAGCAGCAGCAAGTGGCACTGGCAAGCGCGTGGCTGCTGCCATAAAGATGTTTGGTGACAATGTGTCGACTTAAAACAGGAATCTTTCCTTGAACACACCCCTGCTTAGCACTTATCTGAAAACAGTATGGGAAACAAACAACATCATCAGTTTGCGGTGGAAGCCATTAGTGGTCAAAACACAAAATGACTCTCCTTTATCCTCCACTCAGACACCCAGTGAAGCAGGACTCCATGGAGTCTCAGCTAAAGAGAATGGACGACACGCGGGTGGACGCTGACGATGTTGTGGAAAAGATTCTCCAGAGTCAAGACTTTACACCCAGCCTACTGGACTCCAGTGCTGAAGGTATGCTACACATCCAGAGTAAGCTGTCTTTAGAAGTATCAGAATCGCCGTAGCTGCAGGTTTTATTCTTTGGGGTGTTAAAGTTGTGTATGTTCCCAGGAAGATTTCCCCCATTTTGTAACATCTCTTCAAGGAAAGAAAATAATAAGATAATGGATTATTTGACTGACAGGACAGTCATTAGAAACAGTTTTCATTTATAAAGTAAGAATGCCAAACATTTGCTGGTTCCATCGTCTCCA